CATTTGTATATCTTATCTAGCAGAGTCTGCTACAGTAAGAGTGTTTTTAAAATGCCATTAAAATACCAAGACTCTTGTTAAATGATTATTTATTTATTTCCTAGTATTTCATTTTTTTAGCAACATTAAGACTAGCGCAGAAAGCGAATGAAGCGATTGCCGGCATTTGAATCGAATGTAATATTCAAGCTGTTGCAGGCACGAATATCGCCGGAGGAGCAGAGCAGGCAGTTGGCATCCTGGAGGCAGCTCTGCTGATCGGTCACCGTGGTTGAGCAACCGCGCTGAATGTTGCTGCCCGAGCCAGAGGCCTTCACATAGCAGTAGGAGTTGGGAGCGGTTGGAGCTGTGCACACGGTTGGCCTCAAACTGGTTGCGTTCTCGGCGCAGTTGGCGTCCTGTGAGTGCACATGAAACTTGATATAAATCCGACAAAGAGACCGACATGGGCATCATACCTTGCTGGAGTCGCACTGCACACAGGCGAACCTCATGGAGCCCACGTTGTTGCAGTTGTCCGAGTTGCACTTGAAGCACGAATCATCGTGAGGTGAATCACAGCGATGGCGCAGTTTAGCTGGTATTTCCAGGGAGCAGCCTTTATACAGGACTTTGGCTGAATATTTATGAACAAATATTGAAAGAGAAGAGTGTGTGAGAGAGAGAGAGAGAGTCTGGCACAGCTCTTATGACCTACAATTCTCGTAGATGGTCACGCAGTAATCCAGCGAGTCGACGCACTTCTGCACCAGAGACACTCCCGTTCGCTGGCAGTTGATGCCGCTGCAGCTGTGACAGCTCGTGATTTTGTTGGCATCACTGTATCCTGTCGCAAGGACGACCACCAGCAGCGCCCAGAGCATTGCTTTGACTTTCATGATGCGCTTTTAACTACGAGCTGGCGGCCAATGCTTTTGACTTTTATACGCTCGCTGCCGTGTGAAGTACACTTCACGCCAGCAAAACACTCGACAGGTGGCAAAGCTCTAGCTCCCACCTAGCTGCAGCTGTAAAGTTTCGTAACTGATGAGTAACTGTGCAGATTTAAGGGATATCTCTATTAAAGTCAGTTGGTATTATATGTATATATATTATTATGTCTATCTCTATTAAAGTGTTATTATTATTATTAATGTTGAGTATTATAATTCGAATTATTAGTATGAATTTTAAAACATTTGGGTATTTTTACTCAAATAAATAAATAAATTATTATGAAGACTGAAATCTTAAAAATGATATTATTTAATATACATATATTTCTGTACAGCAACTGTTTACTGAGTCGCAGAAGAAGATGCCCAATAA